CGAGTTCGCCAACATTTCCTAGACCTACGATGCAAATGCAATCTGAGTGATGGATAGAAAACGGTGTTCGGCCGGCCAAAAGCGCTTGTGCTGCCCGCAATGACCCAAACTTAAAAAATGTCACGATAAGGTTAATGCAGACATTAACACTAAAGACAGAACTGGAGGACATGGAACATCGTATTTTATGGGAAGGGTAAAGCAAAATTGGCAAGGCGCTACAAGGACGGTTAAAAGTAAGGTCAAACACCCAACACCGACCATGCGACAGCTCGATGAGGAGCTTGATAGGGATGGAAGAACGAAAGTCTCCTGGACTTTCAAACCAACTGAAGGTGTCCCCATTTTCTTCTGTGTTAATCACTCTTAGAACCAGTTTCACGACTGCAGATCCAGTCATTACGCAGCTCGTGACGCATTCAGATGGAGGGCTTTCAAAATAATGACGTACAATTATCCTTAGCTGTTTCACTAGCACCATGCAGAAAGTACTTCACTTGGTTTTGGCATTTCAGCGGAATGGTCATTCGGAAAAGTCAGTTCTCCTCGTACTTACATCACGGTGGACAGAAGATCGAGCCAAAATGATATTTGGACTGCCGGTAAGGCAATAATAAGTTGCAAGGCCCCACTGTGTTGAGTCAATCTTTGGCAACTTCAAGTCAACATAGTGTGGTGGTTCTATTTAAACTCTTTTTTGTGAAAACTTTCTCTGAAAAGTACATTGCCTAACCTGGGAAATGTTACTTTTAGGGGAAACTCAATGAGAAATCAAAGTACACATCCCAACCAAGTTTTCGTGGAAGGGAAGCCTAATCCTTGATGGAATAAGGTTACCCTTCTAAACGAAACTAACTTTGGTTTCCTTCCCAAAGAGACACCGAGATTCCATGTTATTTGGTTGTTGAGAGCCTATCCTCATTATTAAAAAGAGACAAACAAGAAAAAGGAGAAAAGGTTTGCTCACTGGGGCGGGCAAGAAACGCTCCAATTGCACTGGTTGATAGTTCAAGTCTTGGCAGCGCTGGCGGTGAAGCGGGAGCCAGATGATGACACAAGAGACTGGCCAATTCAAACCACCAGCAGACATCCTGACAGTACGCACAAAAATCATCGTCTCCCACCGCTGCAGCCGCCGCCTGCGTAGCAGAGAGTAGGGCTGCCAAATTGCCACTTGCTCCGCTGCCTGTCAGTCCTGCTGCTCCAACAGTCGGTACGCTTTGTTGACTACTCACTGGCGAGGGAGCAGTGCAATGGCCCATGCACCGACTTGCAATCGTCGACATCATTCGACGTGACTGGGTCCGAAAGCATACATTCAAATTGACATTGTTTTTTTCAACTCCATCCCGCAACCCTGTGGGCATCCAGGTGAGATTAAGCATATCGCTAAGAAGGGAGAGAACCAGTTGTGGTGTCTCTTGTGTGAATCCACCATGACCGAATGGATCGCTAAGTTTTAGCTAAAAATAAATAAAAACAAGGAGACTCAACTTTTGCAGTCTTCCTGCCTGACAAGATGAAATTGTGCCCAACTCAGTTCCCGCACTCGAATGTACTCGTCCATCAAGG